GCCACAAGGTGGGCGGCTTTCTGTCCTTTTCTTGTAATTATTGACCAGTTTCTTTTCGACCGTTTCAGCGCAGTGACGACTGGCGAGAACTGTGATTGAGAGCGGCTGGAGCGGTCGAACGGGACTGGCTGAGTGTCCAGCAATTGGCTCTTCTTGACTGGATATTTGAAATAGCAGTTGCAAGGGAAAGCCAGAGGAAAAGAAGGATTCTGAGGATCAAGGGTTTCGTCAGATCAGCCCGTGGAGGAATCAGAAATTCAACGTGGATGCCTCACACTATTGGAAAGTGGGCTGTTGATCTCGTCGACAATGAGGTTTCAGATAGTTCCCGCTTCTGCGTATGATGCTGGCAATCCGCTCAAGGAAAGACCGCCAATCTCCGGTCGAAGCTGAGTCTACTTCTTCGTTCCTTTTGTGCTTCACCTTGGAAAGTGCTCAAGAAGCAGTGAGCTTAGTGAATGACACCACTGAGATTTTGACAACTTCGACCACTGAACGATTTTAGTGTCCAGAGAGGCAATCTTCGTTTTGAATCATACACTTCTGCGCAGAAAGCGGAGAACCCAAAACCAGAGCTTCTAATGATTTTCGAGGCAGAAGCAATTCATTAGTCGTGAGCGCTTCTATGCCCAAATTTGCAACTGGCACTGAGTTGAAAAAGCCGGCTTTTCGTGCTTTAGGGCGCAGCTGTGGACCAAGAAGGGCCCCTTGTTAAGCGTTGATCTGTATTAGGCGTCTTAAAATTGGGCCACGGCGAACCCCCTCATGAGTTCCTTTCTTTTCTAGGGGTGCAGCTGTGGGCCACGGAGAACCCCCTGGTGAACAGCGTCGACAGCCTCGAGCGAAAACTAGACGCGAGAGCTGAAGCTATCATCACTCAGCCGCCGCTCCTTCCAGACTCGTTTGAGAGATGGTAAGAACTCGGCGTTGGGGCGTTGTAGGAGGACTAGTGATTTGATCTGAAACTTTTCTAGACCATTCAAAAACTTTATCTAACACTTTGCACGCCGAAAGGCACTTCTTCAAGTCGCCGAAAACTCCCTCGGTTCGAAGTGTTGTGAAAGTCATTGCATCGTTACTTGTCTTGCTCAGATTCTTGCCAATATCTCTAGCGACTGCGACTCGTGCCGCTCGGCACTGAACTGCAAAAGCTTTACGGTTCGTGTACCTGAATTCGATAAGTCATTGAAATTGTTGAACACATTCTTTCGCACCTCGAGGTGCTAATGGACGAAACTCCCCATCTCAAAAGTCCACGACGCTCGTTGCCTTTGTTCGCATGGCACTCGCATGGTTGCAACGCGGCACTTCGAGCTCATAAGCAGCGTACGGAACAATGGCTCATGTCTCGCACAGACCCTGCCTCGAAAAGCTCTGAGTGTAAGGGTTTGACATTGTTAAACCTCAAGATTGTGTTCACTGTTCCCAACACAGCCTTTTCGTACGGCCCTGAAAACAAGACGGTTCAGCCCTGAAATCAGTGAACAGCTGCGGCGTTTGTGTGCAAGATATCTATCCAAGCGAGCGAGGTCAAAGAGGCCCTGTGCGCCACGAGGCTGCTTGACAGATCGCTCCCACGCTCCTTGTGTAGGTGGTCAGAGGCCGACAAACGAGGCCTCGTTGGCTCGACGCGTCTGATCGTAGGGCTGCCGTTTCTTTCATCTTTACGGAACCTCGACTTCTGGCTCATGTTGACGGACGCAACGGGTGAGCTCTCAAAGCCGTCCGCTTCAAATCTTTGTCCTCTCAAAGTTATGAATGTTACATCGAACTTATCCACAGCTGACGGACTCGAAACTTGAGAGCCGTCCTCTTCGAGTCTCCGTCGTTTCCTGAGGTTCTCAGTGTTGCATCAAACCCAGGCGTAGATAGGAAGCATTTCGCCTCGTCCAATGCAATGCCCTTGGGAAAGAGCCAGCCCATGAGTTGCACAAAGCCCAAAACAAACATCAAACTGAGACGTACCGGGTTCCAACCTTTCCGAGCAGTCTACGGCTCGGTCTCACAATAGATCTGACTTTCTTGCTATACAGATCAGAAGTTCTTGCTCCAATTCCTACTGCGCACAGCTGCTAATCACATGTGGATAGGAACTTTCGCACAGATTGTCTGTTATTTTATTCCAATTTTTTTGTTTTGTTCCCGCAGGTAGCGCTGAAGCGGAGGCCGTTCGCGGAAAGTGGGCAGACCACGAAAGGAGGGCCGGGGACCATGCGGGACAGCAGTTAGATTTCCGGTTACAGCAAACCCGGGAGTGCTTAAGAAGGATTGAGTCGTTACCAGGCGTGCAAGGGGTGCATTTGATGCCCGTGACAAAACGTGGTTGGAGAGATCTGCTAAGACTGATTGATGAGGGCGCTTTCAGCTCGTAAGTGGGGCTGAAAGCCGATTGAGGGAAGCGCTTGCTGGCGCCTTTGTTGACGTATCAGTGGGCGGGCGGGCGGCGGCCAAGCTTGGTTATTGAGTATGCATACGGTCAGATCCGACTGGGGCCAGGAACGTGCATCATGGCCTGCGTATCCACATGAAGGTTTGTGGGCATGCATATCCCCAAAGGCCAGCACCTGGTTGGAAGGGTTGAAGGAAATGTAATTCATGTATGATTGGTTGCAGGCCTGCCGGCGGGCTGGGCGGAAACTTGAAACCAATATGTTTGTGTTTCAATCGATGAACTTAGTCACATATGGTTCTACGAACTGCTCGACGGGCATGCGCTATCAATGAGGACGTACATGCAGTGCAGCAATACACCTGCAGAGCCCGCAATTAGACTTGTGAAGACAAGTGATGCCGATCGTCATGCCGCAATCGAGCGGAAGCGCGGCCGCCAACTGCATATGTGCCCGCGGGCCACGTATCTGCGCAAATTCCTCGATCCGCTTCCGACACAAGAGCTGTCGCCATGAGGATTACAACGTCTTCAGCCGGAAAAGCCCGCGGTCGTGCTGCCTTATATCTAGTATCATTATGCAGCCGCAATTAAAAGTGGGCGCGGCTGCGTATATACGTACCATAGTATGCCGTCAAGCAGCACGGCGCGGCGCCACTACAATATAGTCGATTGAATGTGAGATGGTTGATCAAATCTATATACCTACGTAGGGCGTGCAAGGTCAACTCCTTCTTGTCTGTCACTGTGCATGGGCTGGCACAGCGGGCCACAGCATAAATTGACACGCATTCCCGCCATTAAGGTTGACGCATCCGTCAAATGCAGTGAGTGCGCATGGATTAACTAGGACTAGTAAGGACTGGAAAGCCAGCGCCGGATCTCCGACCAGATATGCGGAAGGTATGCGCGCCAAGTACAGGCGTTTGCGTGAAACAGAACAAGGTCAAGTCCGATAAGGTTTCCTTGATCCCTCCACTTTTTGCCGCTTCGCCTGCGGTGAACTTTGCTCCTCTTTGATTCGCGCCCCCCGTATGGATTGCGGCGTTTTCGCTCCGCCTTTCCTAGCATCTGGCAACGACTGCGCCTCTTTCTTGTTCGATAATCTGCAGAATTTATGATGGTCGTTGCATTCGTGAGCATGACCACGTCCAGCCAAGTGAAAAAGCTGTGTGCGAGGACTCTTGTCGACTCCTTGGCACATTGAAAGCTAGTTAAAAACAGACGCAACTGAGATCGTTCGATGAGCAAGTTCAGGCCTACGTAAGAGACCTGTTGCTACGGATGTTATCCAGACCTGTCAGGGAGATCGTCGCCAACGATGCACAATCTTGAATAGAGTGAAAGAGGTGGTGCATGTGCGCTTCAGATACGGCGCGAGTATCAGATTAATGTGTTTCTCAGAGAAGTATGATCATTGTGAAGTGTGTTGTAACTAATTCGGCTGTCAAATCGAAGGCGAACGAATGCTGGAGTATTTCGCGATTTGCAACTCGTCAGAAAGTGAGTTTTCGTCTTGTCAGATTTCGACGACGTTCTGAGCAAGATGAAAGAGAGACGAAGCCATCCGAATTGGGACGCTGCGTCAATTCGCATCCGAGGATTGCCAAACTCTTCCAGCCGCTTCGACAACAAGCATCCCCAGAAAGCAGTTCTCCATGAGTTATCATCCACGTTTTCTCTGGCTGCGCGAGCTCTCGGATCGGCGATACTCTCTCTACGATCTCGACCGGCTTTGCTCTTCCAAAGACACGAGATATCAAAGATTGATCTCGAGAAGGACAATAACCGCTAGGGTCAAAAAAGGTGACCGCACTAAACGGGTAGGGTAAGCTGAGGGTTGAATAGGGACGCGGTGGGAGTAATTCTCCGAGTTAGGGCTTCTAGTGTCAGTCACAGCTTAAAGCTTATGGTCTTCTTTCCGGGAAACATTGGTCGAAGCTGCCAAAAGAAGGACGACGCCTTACTTGTCGGCCATCTCGGCGTCCGAAACGGACGCCTCCTTTTTGCTGTGCTGGGCCGCGCCGCCCTTCCCCTCTCGCCGCGCCGCGCTTTCCTCCGCATCTTCGCTCAATTTCTGCACGGCGGAATGGACGGAACAAGGTTTCAGCGAGAACGGAAAGCTTATGAAAGGAAGCGGAAAGGCGGAGTGGACGAGAACGAAGCTTGAAAGAGAACGAAACAGAAAGCTTATGAAAGAAATCGGAGCAACCTGCATCCAAAACCGCATGCAGCTAAAGAACATCCGTCCAAAAACTTGCTTTCAGATCGGTTCGCTTAAGTACGAAGTCGAGAAGGTGAAAGAGCGGCCCGACCTGCTCCGTGAGCTGTGCTTGATTTTGGTGGCAGCAACAGTCTGGCGTCTGCTTGCGACCCGTTTCAAAAGATTCTCATTGGAAAAACTTCTATGAGACTTCGTCGACCACAAAACTTCTGAGAATCATCGTGGACAACAAAAGAAAGGCTTTTAAGCTAATGTGCTGCGATCTTACACTAGCTGACGAACCATATGGACGGAGTTACCTTCAAACTGGCAGCTTCAATAACAATCGCTTCTTCCGTCCGTTCTAGGCCCCTTGGTTGGCAACAGGAACAGCAAAAGATTCAACAAAGGAGAGAGACTCCATACCTCTATCACTGGGTTGTAGCTTTTGAACGACATACGGCCCAAAAGCGCTCCCGGCTTTGGATCACCTTCCACAAGAACCATGCTGTGAGGCGAACGATGGGGCAAAAAGTCAGAAACAGGAATTCCTTCACCGCCCACTCATGACATAAATTCCTGTCAAGGGACCCCTGATGCGTTTCGCCAAAGATTTGTGAACACACAAGCGCTGAATAGATCCACAAACCCTGCTGCTTCTGAGCGTGCAAAGGGCTCTTCTGAAACAAAAGTACCGTAGTGGCATGACCCATTCACACCAAGCTCTTACGAAAATTATTTGTTTCCCTTTTCTGTTTTCGCACCAAGGTTTTGGGGGATATTTTCATTTCGCACCGAGGCAGAATTACAGTGTTTTAGCCTATTTCTACGCGATCTTCAGGCTTCATTTGGGTTTCTTTCGTTTCGCACTTTCGCACCAAGGTCAAAATAATTTCCAGAGATTTTCGCACCAAGGCGTTACGAATTATTTTTGGTGCGAATGGTTTGTGCCACTACGGTGTGAAATTCTCCTCTGCACACGACTAGCAAACCGTACGCCTAGCCCGAGTGGGACTGGCCCCGTCTGGAACCCATTGCATACGAAGCTACTCATCTACTTGACACCAAAGTGTCCACACTTCCTTGCCGAATGAACTCCCAAAATGTTCAGTGTTCTCTTTGTTTCTCTATGACAACACAAGTACTGCAGAACACCAGCAAACTTTCCTCACCACTCTGCTCCTCCGTCCGCATCTCGCACAGGTGCAACCCAACGGCTATCGTCAGAAGGTGGCTCATCATCTTTCTTCTTGACATCGTCCTTGACTTTTGCTCGTTGCATAAACTGGGGGAAGGAAGGACGGGGCGAGATTGAAGGCGCATGATAAGAAGCACAATGGTCTGTTTTTTGTAATGCTTTCTGGAATTGTGACCGGAATCATTACAATCAGTGCCCTTGCCTGAAGTTTGAACCAGACTTTGGGAAAAGAAGGGGTCTTACCACTGCCACCAGAGGTGTGCACATATCAAAAGATGGTGGAAGCAACTTCGCATGGAAAGAGGCAGTATGTCCGAGGAGAGTCATTTACAATGCCTCCGACATTTTCTGATGGATGACTCTGGTCACTTTGCCCCCATGATACTGATGGTGGTATCCATTGGGAGTCTTGTCAGTTTCTTCCCCTTTGGTTGTATTCGTGCATTAAATTAAAAGGTGGTGCGGATTAAGCATCAGCGTTCCCACTTTTCCCAGCATACAAGGTGGTCTGAGCTTTGCTAAAGTTTCCGCATTAAAAAGGGTGATGATGCCCCCATTTGTGAGGTATGGAATCTGGTGATCCAACAATGGGGTCTCTCATTTAGCTGCGCTTTCGAAATTCATCATTGATCCCCTTTCTTGCCTAAGTTTCCTCTTTCGCTCTCTGCATCCAAATCGATGATGTAATGCAAGGCACAAATGACCATCTTGCTGACGCCACTCTTCAAGGAGTTGTCTAGCTCTTGCGAATGCAGCATCCTCAGTGAGCGGAGAGATTTGTTCTCGTTCTCAAAGCAAGCTTCACATGCCAATGCAGCCACTGCTTCTTCAAGGCCATTGCAAAAGCAGCGGCATACCGTCTTTGCGAATTGCATTAGGTAGAAGGAAAAGCGTGATAAACGAGTTCTGCGAGTTCCAAACACATTAAAACCGCGGAGTTGGTCTAGCTTGAAAGGAAGCTGCAAAGCTCACCCGCATACTCTGCAATCTGCTTGATAGAGACATTATTGCGCGGTCGTATATTGGGCACTCTTCAAAAAGGCAGAGACGTGCAAGGGGTAGTTTCCAACAATGAAGGAGCCTCGAACCTAAAATGAAGTTAAGGCCCTTGACGAGGGTTTCAATGCCAATTACTTGAATCAGATGAAAGAGAAAGATGGTGGACACTGGAAACAGAAGATGATGCACAGCTACCCACTCGGCAGCCTGTTCAGTGTTTGAACTTTGACATGGACTCGGAGCTTGCCAAGCTTGCCAAGTTGGTCCCTGAGGCTGGAGGTGCCCAGGCTCATGCAGAAGGGGGGCGTACTGTGTTACGGGAGGAAATCTGAAGCGTCCGTAGTCGGGAGAGTTGCATATCGGATGATTGACATTCATGCGAAAAACTCCGACGAGGTAAACACTGAACACGCATGACAATCTCAGTGCCCACTTTTGTATCCAAGACCAAGTCGTCTCAATCTAGTTGGCTGATTACCAACTTGCCAACTTGCCAAGTTGATCCCGTCACGTCACCCGCAATCCCCCAACGCCGGTTTGCAAGCTGTCGGAGTGCCACCCCTTGGGACAGCGATCGGATATTGTCATTGATTGTATGCCGTCGATGGCAATCCTTTAATTGCTTGTGACCGTGCGATGTGCCACGGTCAGCTTCCACGGTCTGAAATCGGCGTCCACATTCCGCGCACCTTATGGAGCGCACGGGGCCTGCAGAGCAATTATGCACTGTGAACAGTGTTCTCATGCTGCGTCTGCGGCCCTGGGGCGTCTGATTCAAATTGAGCAAGGTGAACCCAAGGGTCGCCGCGAAGGATTGACACTTTACATTCGTTATGAGACTTTCTGAGAGCAGGGAGTCTTGTCCCAGTGTATTTCTGCGGTTCCAATAGAAAATGGAATCCTCCAGGCATTGCATCATGCGGCCAGATACGTACCCATTTGACAAAGGTATTCTGCCTTCCCACCTGCTCTTCACAGTTCTACTACTAGCACCTGACGCCTGCATTCAGCTGCATCGCGGGTGCATTGTACTGCGGGTGCATTGTACTTTGTAGTTCCTCGACCGTATCGAACACGCATAGAGCGCTTCTCTTGAAAGCATTGTCTGTGCCCGCTCCCCGTCCCTCCTGGCAGACGTCCTTACCCAGCCAACGGAGACCAGCTACAAAAATCCGATGGCGAGCCGGGCTGACACGGAGGGCCCTGTGAAATATGATGAAGCGCAGCTCAAGCTTCTTTCCTTGCTTGTGTGAGTTACGCAAAGATTCCATAATGCTGCATTCTTATAATGCTGCTGCGTCACTTGTGGTTTGTAGAGAGAATGAAGACAACATTGAGTACTTGGACGTTTGATCTGACATGATGGAGCTCACAGAAACATGATGGAGCTCACAGAGAGTGCAAAAAGTACTCCAGTCTGTAAACACTGGCTCATTGAGTTTTTCCTATTATGGTGTCCTCAATGGGCATTCAAAGCTGATCAATGAGAATGTGTTCCCAGATCAGACCTAGTACATCAGCCTCAGAACCTCTTTTGTTGCTCAAGTAAGTGTTTAATTGAAATGCTATAAGCACACGTTGTACTTAATGGAGAAAGTAAAAGGTGTGGGAGAAGCGCAAAAGCCAGCCAGAAAAGCTTTTCCATCTGAGGAAGACTTTGTTGCTTGATAACTTTCTTTAGCGGAAGGAAGATTAGAGCACATTCGCAAACTTCCCACAGACCAAATGCAGATTGGAGGATGTCAAGTCCAGAGAAAAGGGTCATTTTTTCTATTATATGTCTGAAGCATCTGATGCACAGCTACCAGCACTTCCCTTGTTTTCCGCTGAAGGCCGATAAACCTGTACGGATGCAGTACTTTATAAAAAAACGTAGTGAATACAATATATTAAAGGCCGAGAGTGAGGGTTGTGCTTTGTCCTTCAGAGGTGGAAAGAAGTCCCAAGTGTTCAGAGGACCAGGACGAACGACACACAAATGATGAAGTCACTTGGCTAGATTTGGAGACGCCGACAACGCTCCATCAGAGCACAGTGAAGTTTAAGTCTGAATGAGTCTTTAACCAAAATACTTGATTGTCCGCTTACCAAAGAACGGCAGACGGTGCAGACTTCCAAGGACCTTTCAGCGAGCTTTTCCAGCCCATGTTTCAAGGTTCATCAAAAGCTTCTCAAGTGCACCAACTTTTACGTTATCATCAGCGATGTCTCAGGAGTCAGGCCTCCGCTCGTTTGTGCAGATCGAAACCGGAGCTGAAGGATGCTGCGGCAACAAAGCTGGCTGCTGTGGCAGAAGAACTGGAAAAGACCGTCTCCTCAGACACCGGAATGACGGACGTTGAGTAAGTAACGATTCAAAGAAATGAGTTTCGATTGCAAGGCAACTGGGAAGGGTGACGATTGGGTGAAATGGAAACTCCTCAACACACGATCGTTTATTCCGCGAGCCTTGATGCTGCTCCAGATTCATCCAGATAATGCAATCTGGACCACATGATGCCAGGCAGTCAGAGATAGACAATATGCTCCTTTTGTTGTGAGGGCAAAGTAAGTAGCCAGGCTCGCCTCAGCATTCGCAAGGTGATCCAATCCTTGTTTCCTTGACTCTGCACACCATCCCTTTCTCCAGTTCCCAAATGCTGAGGTTCGCCGTAGCTTCTGCCAGATACAGGGAATCCTACGACAAGAGTACCGCTTTTTCGCATCCACTGCTGAAATCAACGCCCTGTGTCCATACGGGGGGTATTCTTTTTTTCGGAAGATGGTCAAGTTCGTGTACAGATCTGAGAGGCTGGAAATAAGCGCCTGCAACGGGTAGCGAGCTTTAGAGGAATAGAGTCTTGTGGGCCAGACGGAAGACCGATTCACACTCGGAGTTTCATTTCTTTGTGTAAGACCCCGACTTTTGTGACTGTACAACAATCCGCAGGATCCTATTTTAGGGCACCCCATTTCACCCCTCCTTCCTGTGATACTGCAAAGGCCCTATGAATTGACCCCTTTGCTTTTATGATTATTTTGACCAGCTCTTCCCCACAACGCAAACCTTCTTAAAGAGGGCCTCCCCAAGAAGGCCCTTAGGCCCTTTCCCGGCTCCCCTCTGCAGCGCCAGTGCTAGATCCGTCCCCTGACTACGGGTAAATTCTAACCAACCTGCTTGTTTAACGAGACCCTATTTTTCTGCAGGGCCCTCGGATCCTCCCTGAGACAGCGCCAGTGCTACATCGTCTCTTGACCTATAGGTCAAACTTAACCAACTTTCCGTTATAACGAGACCCTTTTTCTGTACAGGGCCTCCCCAAGAGGACCCTTCGACCGCCCCCCAATTTCCCCTTTGACAGCGCCGGTGCTAAACCCCTGTGCATCAACATCTCAAGCCGTGGTTAGTTCCAGGTTAGCTCTAACGAGACCCTGTTTTTCTACAGGGCCCCAGTGCCCGTGCCGAGGTCTGTACATCACGAGTTGCTGCAAAAGGTTCCGGAAGAGCCGTCGCCGATCAAGAAGCTCAAGAACGGCTTTGTCGGCTTCAAGTCCCACTACTTTGAGTAAGTCTCTTTTGACCGGATGCTCCTTTGCCGATTGAGAAGCTCAAGGTTGGCTTTTGTCGAGTTTTTTAAGTCTCACTACTCTAAGTGAGTCCCTTGTATAAGAGGGGCTTGATAGGTAGGCACGTGGGCGTGTGCCGAAGCGAAACGAGGATTATCTAGGAGAAGCGTTTTCCTGCTTGGGTCCGCTGCGATCAACGTTCTGCCCTGTCTGATAATGATAAGGACGTGAATCTCCGAACGTTTTCGAGTGAGTGGTTTTGGTGCGGTAAGGAGGTATTCGTAGCATCCTGGACCTAATCAGATAAGCCGATGCTTTAACGTTTTCTCAAGCAGTGCGGCTCCTGGATCGATATTAAAAACAGTGCCGAAGTCTTTGCCTGTGCAAGGGCACCGGATGCACTCAGCTTCATCTTCGCGTCAAATTCAGGCAGTAGGCTAAACTGTGGTACGCGGGAGAGGAGAAGAGCGATGGGCCAATCTCGTGCCCAGAGGGTCGGCAAGCTTTGCTTCATTTGTTGACTCATCGTGGCTCATCTTCTCTTCGCGCAGAAAGGAATCCGATCTGTTCGAGCCCCTCAAGACGGGCCAATCTCCCAAGGTACGGGAATCAACTCCTTTTGTGGTCCATTCCATTTTTGGCTCAATTCTTCACCTCTGCTTTGCCCGTCTGTTTCTCGATTGCCAAAACGGGAGTTCAATTTTCATCGCTTCCGGCCTTCTGGCGGTTCCGGTTCCTCAGGTCGCTTTTCCACAGTTCAGTACAAACTGCTGAAAACGCACTTCCCACAGTTCCTGACTGTAGCATTTCTGAACTGCAATCGTTATCCTTAGAACGCGAGCCTGCTGCAAAGTATATCCTGATTCGGTCTACGCAGCGTCTCGCCTGTGCTTCCAACCCATGCAGGATAGGTGTAGCTAGTTTCCTTTGAAACTGGAATTATGAACCGTTTGCAAGCGTGCCCTGATCAACGAATCGTACGGTCACCTTTCCTTACGGACCGCAGTTACAAGCTACCTCTTCTCCATTTTTCGGACTTCCTTCCACTCTTCTAGGCAAGGCGGATTGGCGTTGAGGAGGAAAAGTCGGAATCGCTAAAGTCGCCGTTGTGTCTACCTCTGGAGCTTTCCTTAACACTCACATCATCAGACGAGATATCAATATACCGAGAACCCTATTGAAGGCGAGTTACTCGACGAACACAGCTTACTGATTTTCATCGACAAACAGGTTTGCCAAAGCTGGTAATCACCGGTTATTCCTTTCTCTTCCAGGTGTTCATCAGTGCGTGCTGCGACTCCCGCGCCTGTACTACCCCACAAACTCAAGCTCAGATAGCCAACAAACACGGCGGTCTAGTAACCAGAAAGATATCAATGGTCAACCGGTTGTTCTTCCTTTTCCAGGTGTTCATCATCGCCTGCTGCGACTCCCGCGTGTCCCCGGACACCATCATGAGCGCGAGCCCGGGGGAGGTGTTCACACTGCGCAACATCGCCAACCTAGTTCCCCCCATGGAGGAGGCCGGCAAGCTGCACAGCACCTCCGCCGCGCTCGAGTACGCCGTTTTACACCTCAAGGTGAGAGTCAATCGTGAGACGTGTGAATCGGCCCTTGTTACAGTAAAATTGTCAACTTTCTTCTGAACCACGCTGTCGAATGTCCTGGTTTGAGCCGCTTTCTGCGCGTACAAACGTTTCCCAAGACTGATGGAGCTTTGGCTTGACATGGTTCCTTCACGAGTTTAGACCGCTCTTGACCTGGTAAACTTTTTGAAACGGGGCCGGTCTTTGCTTGGAAGCAGAGTCGCCACTTGCAAGCGCGCCCAGAAGCCGAGCTCAAGTCCTCGGTGGTTCATCTTTTGAATACACATATCGAACTCACTGGGGCTGTTCATTCCGGCAAGTGCCTCCCCTCCGTAACATCGTCCCTTCTTTACTTGTGGCTTTTCTTTTGGAAATCTCTGCTTCGAAAAGTTTTTTTTGGGCTCTCTTTCCTGAGCCAAGCGCGAATGTCAGCTTTTTTCTGCCGCAGGTTGAGCACATCATTGTGAAGGGGCATCGCGCCTGCGGGGGCATCAATGCGCTCATGACGTCGGAGCCGGATGCGGAGCCTGCGACGATCAAGTGAGTGCGGTCAACATGTCTGCACGGTTCATTTGATAAGTCTCGATTTTATGTTGACTTCATTGTATGTTGAGTTAGATCAGTACCCCGGGCGCAAGCAAACTAAAACCCCAAACCCAAAAGTTAACATGCTCCGCACCGGTACCCACCCTAAACCCCCAAACCAACCCCACCCGTCCCCCGGGCATGACATAACTCAACATAGCCGTAACTCAACATAAAATCGAGACTGCTCTTCATTTGCTAACGAGTATCGCATGTTCTACCGTGTCCTTGGAGCATAGAGCTGATTTGCAGAGGAGCTTGCCAAGTACGTTGCTTTTTGCGGTCTGAAGTCCCGTTCAGTTTCTTTCCTCTCAAAACGACCGGTTTGAACAATCACTGCCACAGCCCAAAAGTGTTCCCCAATAGCGGTCTACACTTTTCAAAAGCCGTACCCGTCAGCTTTCAGGCTTTCTCGTGAAAAGTTCATCCGATCCAGGAGGCCACTTTGTTGACTTCCGAGAAGCAGGATTCCCTGTCCTAGCGACCGGTGTTCTTATGGTCTTCTAGAGCTGATATCAACTTCTCCTCGAACCAGATCTCAACGGCGTTCAGGTGGAGTCAATCAAATATGCAATACAAGTTTGCAAGTTGAACGTTTGAAAGTAGTGAGAGGTGAAGCCAGCCTTTAAATAGAAGTTCAAGCCCAATTTTCTCGGGGACTCTTAAAGCCAGTGAATAGTAAGCCTCTGAATCGATTGGAACCTCAAAGCGAAGGTCACGTTTGCCCCAGTCCGGGACCTACCCTAACGCCCAATGAATTCCACGGCTCAAGAACACTTTACTAGGCTTACAAACCAATGAATCAAGTGGAATCTTTGCAGCGGCGCCCGGAGTTACATCGGCGATTGGATGGCCATCGCGGCGCCCGCCAGGGCCAAAACGCTCGAGGAGTGCAAGGGCAAGGACCTCGACACGCAGCTGCGCTACTGCGAAAAGGTAAGGACCGGTTCCTCGTACGTGCTTGGAAGCGGTCTCAATAGAGGTAGTAATGATTTTGAATGAGGAACCGGACCCTTGTACCTACTCAAAGACGGCCTTCTCAGAGGTCGTGATCTTTTTAAAGTAAGCGGCTGGGAAAAAGAGCTTGGGAGGTAAGGACAAGGACCTCGACACGCAGCTGCGCTGCTGCGAAAAGGTAAGGACCGGTTCCTCGTACGTGCTTGGAAGCGGCCTATCAGACTTAGTAGTGTTTTTGAATGAGGAACCGGTCCCTTGTACCTACTCAAAAACGGCCTTCTCAGAGGTAGTGATATTTTGAGTGAGCGGCTGGGAAAAAGAGCTTGGGAGGTAAGGACAAGGACCTCGACACACAGCTGCGCTACTGCGAAAAGGTAAGGACCGGTTCCTTGTACGTACTTAGAAACGGCCTTATCAGAGGTGGTGACGTTTCTTATTGAGCGGCTGGGTGTAAGAGCTTGGATGGTAGGGACAAGGACCTCGACACCCAGCTGCGCTACTGCGAAAAGGTAAGGACCGGTCCCTTGCACCTTCTAGAAGTGCTCTACCAGATTACAAGTTTTTGCCTCAAATCCTGGATCGGATTTCTGATTGCGGCGAACATAATTCCGATCTTGACCCGTACAATTGGAGATACAGCTGCGCTACTGCAAAAAGGTAACGACCAGTCCCTCGTACGTACTGCGAAACGGCCCTATCGAGGAGTGATGTAGCGGCTCGGTATAAGAGCTTGGAAAGTAAGGGCCGGTCTCTTTTACGTACTAAGAAGCGGCGTTCCGGTCCGTTTCTTCCCAGTTCAACAACCCGGCTCGTTTCACTTTGTGCCGGTCCGTTTCATCTTGGCCTAATCTGCTGACCTAACGGCTCACTGTAACGACATCCAATTTTGCTTAGCAGTCCTTCCGTTCCGGTTCCGCCAAAGGGAAGCGTCACCATCTCGCTGCGGAACCTGCTAACCCGAACTGCTGCCCAACCGCTTACCATGAAACGAATCGCAGCTTTCTCAGCCGCTCTGGGTTCCCACTCCGGCCCATCAAGAGCTTGCTGCGGAACCTGCTAACTAGAACTGCCGACCTGAATGCTCACCGTCAACCACATCTTCGCCGCTAACTCCGCTCCGTTCCGGTTGAGTCACAGGAGAGCGTCAACAACTCGCAGCGAAACCACATCTAGCTTAGTTGCTAGATCCTTCCGTTCCGGTTCCGCCACAGCAAAGTGTCGACAACTCGCTGCGAAACCTGCTGATCTGAACGGTCACCGTCAACCAAGCCGAATTGCTTATAGTTACCAACTTCGCTCCGTTCCGTTTCCGCCT